GATTAAGCTCCGACTTGGGTTGATTGTCTTTGATTGCTGGTTATATTTGTGTTGTACGTGAGCTATTATGCTTGGAGATATTATTGTTATTCTTGCTGCAAGTACACTCACTTGCAATCACCAATTTAGAGGGAGATTGTTGGAGGAAATTGGCGATTGATTCAGGACAGAAATGGAAAGTCCCCAATCTTAGGAATCACCTTCAACGGTCAAGTCTTATGTGCGGGATTTCCAGAATCAGAGGATTCCCTCCAACGGCTAGTCTCGACTGCAACCTATTTAAAGGGATACGGGTTCAAAGGATCAACACTTTGATCGGTTTAGAAATTGAAGCGGTATAGGGCTCTGGGGATCAAAGGGCTTGTGTAAATCAGAGGTATAGGATCTTATTTAGCTAGGGTGTAACCGAGTCTGAGTGATTCTGGATTTGGAATCACGATTGTGGGTGTCTTGTTGATCTTTTCTTCTATCTAGAATAAACTCTCCTAGAGAACGACATATGCTGATATCTAGGATGTGGACGTAACCATTGCACCACGGGTGAACCACATTGAAAAACATCATGTCTCTGTTATATTTCTGCTGTTTCGTTTTTGCAATTTCGTTTTCTGCAATTGTCCTGTTCTTCGAGATTGCTCGGTTCACTGAATAATAGTAGAAGAAAGAAGAAGGGAAAATAACTAGGTTTTGCACTGTGGACTAGGCTTTTTGGTTATAATCCATCTTAGCCCTTTGTCTTCAGTCTTGTTGTGTTTTGTGTACGTGTGGGCCTGTTTGCTTAAAGCCCAGCAAAAATTGCAAGACAAAAAACAATAGTCCGTTTGTTTGTCTTCTTCCATCTGCCAGTCCCTCTTCAACTGAGAAGCATAGGTTCTCATTTCGTCTGAAATCCCTAGTTTTTCCCATCTCGATCCCTTTTACACATCCAAAGAGTAAAATGATGTCATTTTGTATCTAACCTCAATAATATAAATAATTTGTGGATGTTATTAGTCTTTTTGGAGATATATTACAACTATTATAATTTACGATGTAGGTATTTGGATACATTATCTTCAATTATACCCGCGAATCTATGGATATCAATGAACCTATGGCACCTATCACGGGACGAGACTCATTCTGGTCGTGACATTACCCATTGGGTTGAAGAGATTTTATTTTCCAAAACCCAATAAGTATTTTATCATTTTTTTACTGATGCACCCCGTTGAATTGAGTTTGACTTTCGAGAAACCTGATCCAATCCGGCCCGTTACCTTCACTAGTTTAGGGGTCGTTTGGAGAATATGAGTTTAAATCTATAGATTGTCAACAATCTAAAGATTGACAAAAAAAAAGATTCTAACTCTTCGGATTGTTGAAAATAGATTTTAAAATGTTTATTGTTTGGTAACTGTGATTGAACTAAAATAAAAAATTATAGAGATTTGATATCCGACAGAGGTTTTGCCTGGGGAGATTCGGAGTACAGTTTTTTCCATGGGATCAAAGCAGGCTCCGGGATCGGATGGCTTTACGGGAAAGTTTTTTAAAGCTTTCTGGGATATTGTGGGCACTTCGGTGGTTGAAGCGGTAACTTCCTTTTTTGCCTCGAGCCGGATGTTACGGAGTTTTAATCATACCTGGCTCACTTTGATCCCTAAAGTGGAATCGATGGAAACAATGAAACAATTGCGGGCGATTAGCCTATGTCAATTTGTTTACAAGGTGATTACCAAAATCATGGCTACACGGTTGGCTAGTTTTCTCCCGGAGATCGTGTCGGAGGGCCAAAATGGGTTTATCAAAGACCGACAGATTATTGATAACATCCTTATAGGACATGAACTAATGCATTATCTGAAAATAAAAAAGCAAGGGAAGAAAGGGTACATGGCTCTGAAGGTTGACATGGAAAAGGCCTATGATAGAGTCGAATGGCCCTTTCTTCTTGCGGTTTTAGAGAAGTTGGGTTTTAGTTCAGTCTGGCAAGGTTGGATTCGTGAATGTCTTCGATCTTCTTCTTTCTCGGTCCTGATGAATGGTACGCCCTCGGGTTATTTCACTGCCTCTAGGGGCCTTCGCCAGGGGGATCCGCTTTCTCCTCTTTTGTTTGTGCTCTGCACAGAGGGGTTTGCAGCCCTCCTCCGGAAGGCGATCACAGAGAAAAAAATTAGAAGGGGTTAAAGTAGCTCCTCGGCTCCAAGAGTCTCGCACCTGTTTTTCGCGGATGATTCTTACTTATTCTTGCGAGGTTCCCTACAGGAGTGCGAGAATTTAATTGAAGTACTGAATGAATATGAGGAATTGAGTGGCCAACGTATCAATTTAGAGAAATCGGCGGTGTGTTTTAGTAAGAATATTCCCACGCCTGATCAAGAGTTCTTGGCCACGATCCTAGGGGTGGGTGCAGTGGGGGTCCACGATAAGTATCTGGGGCTTCCCACGCTGGTTGCTCGCTCCAAGTTGGCTACGTTCAGATATTTGGAGGAGAAACTTCTGGAGCGCCTTCAGGGGTGGAAGCAAAAAACATTATCATGGGCTGCGAAGGAGACTTTGATTAAATCCATAGCGATGGCTCTTCCCCTGCATGTTATGTCATGCTTCCGCCTTCCCCTAGCCCTTTGTCGTCTTCTTGATAAGCATGTGGCCCGCTTTTGGTGGGGTGTTGAGGAGGGTAGTCCCAAGATTAGATGGATATCCTGGCGAAACATGTGCAGAAGTAAGCATGATGGAGGGATGGGATTTCGCCAGTTTGAGCATTTTAATCAGGCTCTGCTGGCAAAGATAGGCTGGCGTATTCTTAGTGACCCTCACTCGCTTATTGCCCATATTTATAAAGGCAAGTATTTTTCCCAAGGGTCTTTCCTGACTGCGGCTGCGAGGTCCCGTCCCTCTTGGGGGTGGCAAAGTATCCTTCATGGGCGGCAGTTATTGGAGAGGGGATTAAGATGGCAAGTTGGTAATGGCCAGTCGGTCTCTCTCCTTCATTCTAACTGGATTCCCAGGTACCAACTGGACCTCCCATGCTATAATCCGCGGATTTTGCCTGAGGGGGGGGGGGGGGATCCTTTGGTGGCTGAGCTTATTTGTCAAGGGGAAGGGAGGTGGTCTGATGAGAAATTCCGTCAGTGGTTTGACCCGCTCACCTGTAGGGCTATCACAGCCATTCCTCTTCCTAGATGGGATGTGTCAGATAAGATTATCTGGCATTTTACAGCTGACGGGGTTTTCTCGGTAAAGTCGGCTTATCATTTGGCTGTCGATCTGGATAGGAGGAGGGGCGGGTGGCGGTCATCCGTAAGTTGGATGGATAAACCTAGTTGGATAAGGGTGTGGGAAGCTAAGATCCCTCCGAAGTTGAAGGTCTTTGTATGGCAAATCCTTAATCGGGCTCTCCCAACTATGGAGGCGCTTATTGAGAAAAAAGTTCAGGTTCTCCCTAGGTGCCCAGTTTGCTGGGATGGCCCGGAGACGATGGAACACCTCTTCCTTTCCTGTCCGGTTGCGCGGGCCCTCTGGGACTATTCAGGGCTGGAATATTTGGGGGAGGGATTGCCTCGACACACTTTTCCTTTGTTTCTAAACCGGTTGTTGGCGCTAATTCATCAACCGTCGGTGGTTATGGCTGTTGTTGCAATCCTTTGGAGGATTTGGCGATCTCGAAATTGGGTTGTCGTTGAGGGCAAAAAATATGGGTTCCCGGCTCTCATGCGACAGTTTCACCAACAGTATGAGGAATGGGTGGGTCTCTCTGTGGATCGAATTCCGCCGATAATTACCCCAGTGTTGCAACCTACAATGCAGGTGGGTGGTTCCCATTTGGTTTGCATGTGGGACGAGGCTACTAGGTGTGGATCGCATTCGGCTGGTGGGATGGTTCTCTTTGACCCAGAAAGGAGGATTCTGCTGGCTAGAGGGGTCCAGTTTTCTCAATTGGATGACCCAGGGATGGTGGAATTGCTTGTGCTTAGGGAAGCTATTATTTGGTGTTTGGAGCAAGGCTTGTCGGAGGTCCGCTTTGAGGGCGATGCGAAGGTGGTTATTGACAAAATTAATCAAGCCGATACGAGAGATAGCAGGTTGGGTGCTGTTCTGGAAGAGATTGTTTATTACTTTCGTACTCAATCTGGTTTTAGTGTGCGCTTTGTAGGTCGGGAGAACAATAGGGCAGCTCATTTGGTAGCTAGGAAAGCCCTTTCTTTGTTTCCGACTATGAGTCGCTTTTTTGATTTCCAGTCCTGGCTGGCTTCCAGGGTGTAACTATCTTTTTTTGATCAATACATGATATCTTTTGACAAAAAAAAAACCCCCCTAAAATCCACAATACAAAAAGCAACAAAAAAACATAACTTTCTTCAAAATTTACGAATTCAAGAATCCACGCCCTAACATACCGTTTGGTACCAAATGAATCGAGAATTCATTTCATGGTAAAATGAATTACCGAGTAGAATTCATTGTCAAATGAAATCTTGTGTTTGGTATGTCATATTCAAATTTTTAGAAATAAAATGAATTGTCGAATTCATGTGTTTGGTATGTCATATATAAAATTAATTTAGTTAATAAAAAAGATAATTATGTCATTCTATTATAGTTAGTAAATACTTGTGGAATTCATTTGGAAATTCCATTTCAATTCATCGGAATTGCTATAACTAGTTCCAATTCTATAGAATTCAAAATTTAGAATTGAAAATGAATTCTTTTAAATACCAAACACAAAAATGTTTCATTTCAAAATGAATTTATCAAAATTTATAAAATTCATTTATATCAAACTGTATGTAAATCTCATTCTCCAAACGATGCCTTAGTCTTAGAGAATCACACCAATAAACCGGTTTCACTGTCTTCCCTATAGACCACGGCACCACGCAACTCTTCCCTTCAACGATGCGTTTTAGTTTTATGTGTCACAGACTCACAGAGTTACAGCGTTACTGTGCTGGTTGCTTATTCTGTAGCGCGAGCAATTTGACGGAGATAAATAAAAAAAAGAAAAACAGATCATCATTTATTGAAAAGGAGAAAAAACTAAAAAAGAGAGAGAAGGGATCGTCCAACGACGGCAACCGCTTTTACTCTTCCCCTGCCGCGTCCGGAAGAAGAAGAAAAAAAGAAATTTCCCCCAAATCGCGGAACCAAAAAATCCCCAGTCCGGCCAGTCAGCCCGCTCGCTCACTCGTTTTGCTTCGATCCGCCGATTCGATCTATCTGCTCCGTCGCCGGAAACCGGGAAGGATCTTCCGTGCTCGAGCACCGAGAGAACGGAGGCTGGGGAGTTTGCCGGCGGAGGGAAATTGGATAACGATGGTGGTGGGATGAGGTGGCGGAGGAGGAGAGCTGGGAGCTGGAGATGGCGAGAGGAGTGAAATGGGGATGTTCGTACAAGAAGACGACTCTCATCGTTTGCTCCGTCAACATTGTCATCGCTCTCTACGTTCTTCGCTCTCTCTACGGCTCACTGTACCTCTACTCCAACGATGATTTAGCTAACGGTACCACTGCTCCCCCTCTCTTCTCGTTTCCATTTGCGTAGTAGAATCTTGTTTGTTGATCTCTTGGAATTTTGATTCTCCGTAGAACTCGTTTGCGTGAATGATTTTTGTTCTATCTGTAGCTGTGAAGTACACGCCAGATGAGATTAGTAAGATGGAGGAGTCAATTCGGATTCGGAGAGCCAGTGAGCCGACGAAGCTTAAGAAATTGGTGAGTGGTCTAGGGCTTGCTCTCTGGTACTGCGTGTGTGTGTGAGTGAGTGTTTGTGCTGATGGAGCTTGGGGAATTCTGTTTTGTGGTTTGAAGGTGAAAAAACTGAAATTTGAGTTTGGAGAACGAGACATAGTGGAATTGCCGGCGGGTGTCAAACACAATCTAACGAATGAGATTCTCCAGAGATTGAGAAGTTTGTCTGGTGATGCCAGTATCAACGAGCAGCGAGGTAAGTAATGGCTGCAGTTCCTATGCATTGTGTTACCCTCCCTTGGAGCAACAATTGCTAATTGCAGATCTTATGATATTGAATCAAGTATCATCAATTGGATTAGCTGAAGTGAGAATTTGTAGATTGTGAAAGGATGGATTGATGTTGCCCTTAGCCTCTTACAATGCTGCACTGTAGATACAAATAGGTTATTATCTTACTTGGAACCGGTAGGTTGAACTGTATTCCTTAGTAGTTTGTGAACCTTTTTTCGGTCGCCCGGAGGTGTAGGTGGAAGAGATGCTAAGGAACAGTGAGGTTTCATATGCATTTTATTAAGATTTAAGGTTCTAAGAGTTCATGCGTTTTCATTTGTTTCAAAGGTGTTGATCTTCATCATGAAAACGTGGAAGAAAATCTCTCATTCATGTGCCTACCAATGGTTGGTTAGATGCTCTTAGTTTGTCATCTGCCTCTTTGCCATCCTTTGGAGAATGCTCCTTAAATTTTCGCTAAAACAATAATATGAACTCCTCACCTTCCACTCTAAGTTCCAGTTTTCCTTTCTCAAATCTACAGCTCAAATATTTCCTTTCTGAGCAAGTATTAGATATATAACTTGCCTGGAAGTGTGTGGTTGCTAAGGAGGAGAGTGGTGGTGGCATTGGTGTTTAGTTCCAAGAATTTAGAACTTTTTGGGCCTCTTATGTGCAAAGCTGGTAACCTTTTCTTTTACAAATGGTGATGGTTGTGACAATCTAACTTATTCTGTTCACCCCACTTATTGGGTACACTTTTGGTGCGCTTACCCTATGCTCTAATTATGGTTTCTGTTACGTTCTTGCATCTCATGGATTAGTTCACTCTAGATATGCACTTAAATTTTAAGTAGGCCCACGTATAGCCATGTTAATATGGCTTATATTAACTGCCTGATGACAGCAATTTGCTTATATAGCCTGTTAAAAGCCATTCAGCTTTGAAGTTAAATACACTATTCTCTCCCGTGATGGTATTTATGTGTCAACTGTGGCATATGAAATGAGCTCCTACACTGTGGAATATTTATATCTTACTAGTTTAGCTTCTTACTTTCTTGTTTTGGGAGCAGAAGCAGTTGAAAAATGGCGCAATGAGAAGCTACTAGAAGTCAAGCAGTCAATTAATCTTAATAGAGGAGGGAATTCAACTTTTGTTCAGGAAGAAGCTGGTATCTCGCTCTCCTTGCAAGGCTGTTGTTTGTTCTAAGTGAAAAACAAAAACCTTACAATTACCTGCATGAAGTCTACAGGATACATGGGAAGTGTTCTTTGTTTTAGGGTCATTTTGCTTACTCACTTACCTGCGTGTTCTGTAGGATTGCTGGTAAAAGCCCTGGAATCCGATTGGGCAGTGCTCTCGGAGAACATAGGCCTTTGGATTCCTGCTGAAGTCACTAATCCAGAGCAGGATGATAGACCAGAGGGTCAAGAGGAGCAAGGTAGGCAAATCCAACATTTGTGGTTCAGAATTTTCCATCCATCTGATTTTTTTTGGTAGAATACATCTGATTTATGTTCAATATGAAATTACTTTTATGGGATCTTACACTTTTACAGCCTGTTGGGAACGAATTTAGTTGCAAATAGAATTTCAATATTTTTATATGAAATCACCGTTCTTGTGGCAATTCATTTGGAAAGTTGAAGTTTGTAACTTATGTGCTGATACAAGTGTGCTGCTCTGTAGAAGAAGAAACTTTGCCTGGTCCACCCGTTCCACAAGAATGCCACGCCGAGCTCCATACAGATTATGATGGAGTGGCTGTCAGATGGGGGCTTACCCATCGTAAAGAAAGTGCTGCTGATTGCTGTCAAGCATGCTTGGACCATGCAAAACGTGCCAAACCGGGTGAATTGCAGTGCAACATATGGGTCTACTGCCCAGCTGAGAATGGTTGCTACTCGCCTGATATTTACGAACACAAGAATATGGAGTGCTGGCTGAAATACGTACGTAATCTGATAAAGTTTGTTACCGTGATCTAATTAGAATCCCGACTCAGCTCCTGGACTCTAACCTTTGTGCCCTCCCTCTAATCTGCAGGCAGAGAAACCCAAACTGAACTTCAAGGACAGATACTCCGAAGCGTACAGAAACTCCCACCCCAATGCTCCAGTGGTCGTTCCCTGGGCTGCAGGGGTCGTCAGATAGCAGTTCTTCATCCCAAACCCAATTGGGCGCATCGCTTACCATAGACAAAATTCTTTGACAAAGGTGTGAAGCTGAGGCTCTAAAATGATGAACTTCATAGCACTCTTTTTGTTCTATTTTTCCCCCTCAGTCTTCCCTTTTCCTTTGAAATCATTTTTGGGCCTTTTCTAGTTTTTATGGGGTGAAGAAAGAGAAGGGTGATTTGCAGGTGGATTATCAGAATCGATTTTTCGCGCAGATGACACGGGGTTGATGTTACCACTAAGCTTCGGAAAAAGATCGGGGAAACTCTCTTTGCCCCAGTCCAGAAACATAACACGGGTATAGACACGAACAGAGGAACCTTGTTTATTCTACCAAAAAAAAAAAAGAGGAACCTTGTTTATGAATCAGAAGCAGAGTTTAGATTGAGTTGTAAGTTGGGAATTCGTCAGCACTGTAATATAGCTTTCTGTCCACTATTTTTCTCCAGTGTCTCGTCAATTATAAAAGTACCCGAGAATGGAACTCAAAAGTCATCTCTGTTTTCCCATTAGAAAGGAATGAACAAATAGTCGTTTTCTGGGGCATTGTCTCTGTAGCAGAATCTACCGGGAAACAAACAACATTATACAAATCACAGTTAGTGTTTGTTTGGTTCGCGTGAAGTTTGGGATTTTTCCTTTCGAAACCAATTTGGTTCCTTTTAATAGCCTGTGCTAGGGCTGGGCATGCGGGCAGATCATCCGCGGGTTTGGGCCGACCCACCCGCATTTGACCCGAATTTCGTTAAGTGGGTGGGTTTGTGGGTGGGTGACGGGTTGCGTTGGGAGTCATCCGTCGGGTGGTGGGTGGGTTGTGGGTGAGTGTGCGGGTGACCCGCTCAACCCAACAACAAAAAGATCAAAATCTTTGGCGCTAGAGAGAAGAGAGTGGAGACGTTAGATATAAACTCGGACTGCTCCTGGAGTTTGAACCTCAAAGCCAACCTTCCAAATAGAGATCCCCTCTTCTTCCCTTTACTTTTTTCCTCTAATTCTTGTGCCTAGATCACCGCTCTTTCCTTTGTGGAATTATTTTCCTTAGTTCCTTGCACCTAATAATCGTCTCAATCTGTAGAAAACTCTTTCATAATAGAATTTATATCCAATTAATTCGATATTTTTCGCCCTATTTCAACTTCTTGTTTCCCTCGATGATTCTCTTCACATATTATCATGTCAAGTTGACTCCTTTATATTATATACATTGTGATGTGGGTGAACCCACAAACCCACCCGCATCATCCACCACCATCCGCCCGACCCAACCCGAGACGAAATGTGGGTGGGTGGTGGGTTAAAAATTATCAATCCGTTTATGCGCGGGTGGATGCATTTTATGGTCAAAATCCACCCGACCCACCCAATGCCCACCCCTGTGCAGCCATAAACTCCTTCCAACTAAGCACTTTCTGCTAGTTGCCTGTCAAATACTGTGTTCCGTGAAATCCATGTATTTCAAACTCTATAAGCTTTCAAACTATCCAATTCTAACGATCTAGTGACCAAGTGTGGATTCACAGCAAAGTTTGGTGACTACAAGCGTAATTTTCCCCATTCCACCAATACGACTATACGAGCTGCACACTGAACTCTCAAGTCTGGGCTCGGGAACCCTAAAATAAGAGTTGCAGCGCCGCAGATCGGCTGGCGGACGGAGAAGAAGACACACCCGTCGCCTGATTTCTTTCGCTCCGGCTAGCTGCCGAGAAAAGATAATCCGAGAATTTGCCAGAAATCTTGTTCGTTTCCTTGTTTTTCAATCGAATCGGATATTGGGTTTCTGGCGAATGGCTATGAATCGCTGCGAGAGCTCGGCCCAGTGGGGAAGCCATTACGAGATCCTCTCCGTAAAAGAAGGCGCCAGCTACGAAGAAATCCGCAGCGGCTACCGATCCGCAATCCTCAACTCCCACCCCGACAGATCGCAGCAGAACACCTCGGATTCTTCCGCCGCCGCCGACGAGAAATTCCTCAGAGTCCAGAGGGCATGGGAAGTCCTGAGCGACTCCAGGTCGCGAGCGGCGTACGACAACGAGCTGCGGGCGTCGAGACGGCGGCAGGATTCGAGCGTTTCGGGGGACATCGATTTGATGGATGTGGGGGTTACGGTGGTTGAGGAAAGTGGCGTGGTGGAGCTTTGTTATGATTGCCGGTGTGGGGATTGTTTCTCGGTGGATTCTTCGGATTTGGAGAGGATGGGGTACAAACTGTCGAGGGATCGAGATAATGTGTGGTTTGAGGACGACGGAGATGATGCTTCGAGGCCAGCGGCGGCTTCGGTTGTCATATCTTGCGGGTCTTGTTCTCTGCGAGTCCGGTTGTCGATTGAGACCGGACTTAAAGTTCCATTTGGTAGCATTTGATGTTCAAGCTCAGAACCAGAATCGAGGGGATTAGACCAAATAAAGGTTGGAGATTGAGAATGTAAAGGAAGTGGAGGAAGCAAAATGGGGTTGCTTGCTGCTTCTCCTGTGAAGAACTGAAGAAGAAGAAGAAGAAGAAGAAGAAGAAGAAGAAGAAGAAGAAGAAGAAGAAGAAGAAGAAGAAGGATGGTAGAGATCGATTAGGACTTTGGGCTTGGCTGCAAGCCGCCTGGTAAGTCCAACGAAGCTAAGGCCAGGTGTAGTTCATGTTGGTAGTTTTGCATATCAGGTTGGTCACTCCCATAGTCCCATTAAACTGAACATCTCAGCTCTTTTCTATTGTCTGTGATGATATTTCGGTGGCTTGAAGCACATACCCACATACACAGGCTGACAGGCACATCATTTAAGCTAAATCTGTTCGTTTCAAAAGCTTTCCTTTTCTTTTCAATACATTTGAGCGGGAGCTGGATGAGCGGGAAAGCATGGAAAATTTTGAAAATTGAGACCATGAAAAAGACTAGAAAAAGAGCAATTTCTCATCTTCTGTTTCCTCATCCTTTCCCTTCCTACTTGCTTCTCAAACTTCTTCTTCTTCTTCTAGTGGTTTTTCTTCATTCAATCAGAGCATTTCTAACCCGCGATGCCTCCCCGCAAGAGCTCCGCCAAGCAGCCACGCCGCAAGAACCCCGTCAAGCGGCCGCGCGGAAAGAGATCTGTCAAGCAGGCAACCCATTACGAGATCCTCTCCGTGGAACCAAACGCGACCTACGAAGAAATCTGCGCCGCCTACCTTTCTGCCACAACGATCACGGATTCCGCCGCCGATGACGACGACGAGAAATCCCTAGCAGTCCAAAAGGCATTTCAAGTACTGAGCGACACCCAGTGGCGAGCCGAGTACGACGAAGAGCTCCCGGCGGCGAGGCGGAGGCGGAACGCCAGAGTCATCGAAGAGATCAATCTGATGAATGTGGGGTTCATGGTAGATGTGAAAAGAAGACACGTCATTGAGCTTCTTTATCCGTGTTTGTGTGAGAGTTGTTACTCGATCGATTCCACAGATTTGGCGAAGATGGGATACAAACTGTGCAGGGGATTTGGCAGCGTGTGGTTCGAGGCGCCGGAGGCGGAGGAAGACGACGCGGACGACGATCGTTGTATGACGCTGGGTTCAGTTGTGATGCCTTGCAAGTCTTGTTCTCTGGGAGTCCGGTTCACGATTTAAATAAGAAAGCTCTTGTGTGGTTTGCGATTAATGATATTGGTTGTTTTGTGGTTAGTTTTTTAACTGCAATAGCAATCGAATAAGAACTAACCGCGTGGTTTATGTTTAATTGCAAATCGAATAAGAGATACAAAGGTCCTTCCAGTTCTCTCCTGAACTGAATGTTGTCGTCTTCGAAATCCACTCTTCAAAATACAAGGGCTCCCCGCGAGATACCATTGACTATGACACACCGCCTTCATAGCTGTCGGTCATAGTACGCCAGCACCTTCAATCTGACACTTTGTTGTGGTGAAAATGTTTTGCACTATGGTTAATAGCTAATTGTTTGCGGAGCGATTACAATTGACATGTATGACTCCATTTCGATTGCGGTTAATCGCAAATTTCAGTGCGATTAACTGCAACCGCATTGGTTGCCAGTGCCAGCGCTCCACTAGAAGTCTAGAACACCTCACCGTTTAGTAGGTAAGAGGTAAACTGATAGGAGCTGGGCCTACGGCCTGGTGACAGAATGGTCCAGGCCCATAATCAGTGTTGCATGGATCAAAATAGAGAACTCGAAGACTTTTTTTTTTTTTTTTGAGGGAGAGAACTCGAAGACTTGAAAATTCCAGTTCTCAGTTCGTCAGTTTCCAAATCCCAGGATATTCGTGAGTTCAGTTCGCGTTGAATTGTTGTGCTGATACATCCAGATTGGCCGGAGAACTGAACTTTCCCTTCAGAAATTCAGTACAACACGAGGCGGAGGTAAACGTTTGCCGCTCTTTTATACCTCCTGTGTTCTTGTTCTTCACCCAGAAAGAATTCGACCAAGAAAACTCTTTTTTCTTACTTGGAAAATGTCCCGCGACGTGATTTCGTGAAAAGGGTCGGCTCATGGTGTTTGGGGAAGATTAAAGCTGGAGTCTTTTCCAGCTTTTGGAGGTGGGTTTTCAAGTACCCAGAAATTGTGGTGGGGAACGCTTTGTTCTTTGGTCTTGCTAATCCAAATCTCCCAAAATCCTTTCCAAAAGGAGTAAATGGGTTCTGAAGAAGGTAGGTCGGTGCAATCGTGGAGCGTGTTTGATAGGATCAAGAAATTCCCATCTAGTCCAGAAGCGCTTATGGCTGAGATCGATGCTGCAATTACTAAATTGGAGAGTGAGCGATCCACTGCTCGGCTCGACTCTCTGTCGCCGCTCAACGTGAATGGTACTAGTAATACTAAGGGCTTTGACCAGCCGCCGACTGCTGCAGCTTCTCAATACGATGCCAGGATTGCAGATGAAGCTTACCGAGCTGGTTGTGCAGCTTTTGCCGTTGGGAAGCTTGATGAGGCTCTTCAGTCGTTGACCGTCTCTCTCTCCAAGTGTCCTCCCGAGAAGACCTCTGCTGTTGCCAAGCTTCAGTCCCTCATTTCTCAGACCTCTCAACAGCTTCACGAATCCCCTTCTGTGACAGTTGAAGACGTTTAATTTGAACTTTGAAGACTTCCATTGATGATAATGCTTAGGATCTTTGTTGTGTGTGGATTCTCAATGTTGCTTGCCTGGCCACTGAGCAGTACAATGTAAATGTTTGATTGTTTGTGCTTTGATGCCGGGCTAGACTTCTGGTTGTTTGATTGATGGATTGTGCAGAGATGGCTTGTTCATGTGACAAGAATATATTATTTAGCTATGAAATAGGAGTTTGAATTCCATAGGAGTTGTTCCAAGGATGTATTGTGATAATCGTCCGATCAATGTATTTTGACAATCTTTCCATTTCAACTTATCTCTGTACTTTCAAAACTCTGAACCAACTGATCCTTGATTCAACTTTCTTAATTTCACGGCTGCTGTACCTTTACAGTCAGTACTGTGCAGACTGCTGCTTGTTAATAAGTAGGCCAACTGCTCTGATAATCCCTTTTTCTCTTCCACAATCTAATTGTGTATGCCTAAAACTTTTCTGGTTAAAGTGCCTTAAAGTGAGACGTGAAGAATCCACCTTCAGTGTTTGGTGGAAGATAGGTCCACCATATCTTCCGCAATAAAGGTTCTATTCATCCCATTCCCAAATTTGCAAACTGGTGTTTACCAGACGCAAGAGTTCTTACTAAAGCTGGACATCCTTTATTGAGAACTGTAAGGTTGTTCAAATTATGTTGATGGAGGAAAACCTAGCTGTAGCAACTTTTTTTTTGTAAAAGCTGAAGAGTAAAGTAACCACATCATGACTATAACATGCTAAAGTGACTTCATGTAGGTGGAGTTGAAGTATCAAAGGTCAAAAGAGGTGAAACGTGAAGCTTCATTTCTCAACAGTATTTCTTCCCCATCTGCACATTCTTCAGGAAGCCTAATTTTTTCTGCAAGTGCCTTGATGAAGATGATGACGTTGATTCAGTTTCTCGCTCAATCATTCGAGGAAAATTTATTGTTTCCACGATTCGAAGATCAAAAAACAAGAAAGATGGTAAAATGAAAGACAATCTTTATGTACGTTTTCTGTCAACTATGTTCTGCGTTTCCCTTTCCTCTTCACTAGCTCTATAAATTCGAGATCCGAAGGCTACATATGTGAAACATTAATGCATCACTCTATCATTTGTGTTCTTTTAATCCCGCGTGCATCACAATTATTCGATCACAAGTCTCATTATACAAAAAAAAAAAAAAAACATGACTACCTGCTATATGATCCTTATGCTTTACCTCATTTAACAAGGTAATCAAATCTAAAATATGAAGTTACCGATGGTATTAACATACATAATTTTTAGGGTTAAAGAACAAACACAATCTCCCCAATTAATTTTCAGGTTTCTTTTGCCACATTGATTGTTCAAAGGCGGTTCGCATTTTTCTAGAAATGAACAACTTCAAAAGGAGGGTGCAATGGAAGAAAAAGGAAAACGAGTCACACAGTTTGGTGGGATGGTCATGTCTCCTTTTCACCATAACTAGCCTTCATCTTCAAAGTGTGGGGGTGTTAGAAAGTGAAGAAATATGCACCGTGTCTCAAGAAAGTAATTTCTGATTTGTGCCCTTAAAAGCTTTATCTTTACCCTTAAGCCAACAACAAAGAACACTCTGAACACTATCTCTGAGGTGAGCAGGTGCAAGGCCAACACCAAGCTGAGGTCAATTTGGACATCAACTCAAGATTGAGACTTTTACCCTTCCCCCCCACATTCCATGGTGCTTGCTCTTCCTCCCTTTTCTTCCTTTCTTCTTTATAGGTAAGTTAAGCATCAATTTCCCCACCAAAGTTTTCAGCTTTTTGTGTATTGTCTTGTTCCTCTCTCTCTAAATCCATAATGGGTGTGTTCTATCAGGAAGAGCCACCCCCACAAAACCCATCAAAGAAATGCAAGTTCTTCCTCGTTTCAACTCTCAAAGATGCCTTCTCCATCTGTCGATCTTGCGGGGGTCACATAAGCCCCCTCAAGCAGAGGCAGGATGAGGATTATGTTCCCAACACAACAATTGAACTGGAAGATAACGAACAGGAAGTACTTTCCACTTCTTCAAACTCTGCTACGACTTTCCTGTACAGACATACAAAGAACAATGCACATGAATTTGTTTATGACAATAACTATGTTGTTTCGTTTCTTCAGGTTGTCGTGTCAGCAATCAGGAGCAGAGCGATGGAGAAGTCGAAGCAGAAGGTGTTTGTGATCATAGATAGCTTTTTCGGGGAACTGTTCTTTAGTGCTGAGAAGCAGGAGGATGGAGAAGTTGAAAATGAGGAAGATTTCTACACAGTTGGGAGCTGTCTTTCACGTTGTTCGAGCAGTTTGAGCAAGGGGGGCGAAGAGTTCTTCTCAGTGAAGACAAACTTGTCCAGGTGTTCGAGCTTGAGTCAGGTAGAGTTCTCAAGTTTTCACAGGCGGGGTTCGATATTGCAGGAGCTCTGCCACTGCGAAGGGTGGCCATTTGGTCTCTGCAGGAAGGCTGTTTTGCTCCCACCTTTGCCTAAGTCTCCCTCTGAGTCCTGGCTATGGCAGAAAGGCGGTAGATCAGCCAGGCGGCCTTGAATTCTTGCAGCTTGCAACAAAGACGAAAAACTAAGAAACAACTTTAGAATAAGATAGACTGCTGCACAAGGATGCGAAGTTTATTGTTATGTCATGTTGTCATGTCTATTCCCATGTATCAGATTCCAGATTGGAAATCAAAAGCAATCAATTAAGCCTGAGTTCATATAGAAGCATCATTCTGAACACTGGTTCTGTAAGAACATCAATTTTCTACTTCATTGAAATAGTTTTCTATGATCTGCCAAGGAAGGGGGAAAATTATGGACTCTCCATTGGACTACTGATCGTTTTTTCCCCCATTATTTTTAACATCGATCCTTTTTCAACTTAGATGATATTAGGTTTTGCACAAACACAAGGAAAGAAAGTTGCGGGCCTTATTTGCTTGAAGAAATCTTTGCTTCTAGTGAAATACAGCTAAATGGAACTGAAATCATGGGATCATCAATGCAAATCTTGAAATAGCTAAGCTTTTATTGAACTGTAATGCAACTCTAATTGAAAAGGTTTCTAAGAGCAGCAACTTGATTGCAACCATTGATAAACAAAGATTCCAAGCTAGAAAAACTCTAGCAAGTAGCAACTAAGCTAAATCAGATCCCAGGTTCTGGGACTTTAAGCTCTTTGTTCTACATAAGATCCAGCAAGTCCAGAAGTACCAATCAGGGTCACCTGCAAACACAAGACCAAGTGATTTAGGCACACAACATCAACTACAGCTCCAGATGCAGAAGGTCGACAGCTTGGGGAAACAATAATTTAAATCGAGAATTTCAGTTAATTAGCATTTGGTAAAATTGAGCAAGTCTTAATACCTTGCCCCACTCTGATCCAAGTCCAGCGCATCTCATCTTCAAAAATATCATCTTTGAACCCAATTCCATCTCTACTTTCTTTCTCAGGTAGGCCTCATCAGGTCCAAATGACTCCAAATATGAAGAGTACCGTTCAAAAAACATGCGGATTGCCTTTGCATAATCATCTGTTAACGGTTTTACATCCTGTGTCACATATTTTACACGATAGTATTAATCTTCAACAGCCATTTGAGAGTACAAATATAAATATGAAATTTTCAGATAAAAGAATCATGAACATACCTCGCCACTCATCCCAATGCTGTCATCTAGCTCCATCTTCAGAGTCATGATCATCCCACCAAATTCATCAACAACTTCACATGACCGGAAAACATTCTTCAAGATCTCTTGACCGGATTTGTCATCAGAGTTTTTGGACAGAGCATTCTTTACATCATGGACAACTGTCACATCAATTTCATCCCAACTTGCAGCCATCAAGTCCTTGAAAGCACATAAGACATCAGGGTCCTTAGTCTCGGGCAAGTGTGCTACATCCTCACTATAAGACCTTTTACTACCAATGCTGCTCGCCAAAGGAGACCAGGAACCTAACAACAAAAATGACCAAGAAACTACCGAGGTGAAAGAGGCATGAATTATCATTTCCAAGGTAGCATCAACTTTAAACAAACAGGAGTTGGCGGATAAAATCAATCATTATATCTACCTAATTGACATAAGCCTTGATGAATTTCACATCGATGACAATTGCTGGTTCACTTCTAATAGCTAGACACATATCATAATGAAAATTCATCGCACAAAAATGTTGCTAGTATGTGCTAACAATTTGTAAATCCTATAATTCTGAATATAGCATGGGAAAGAAGCTAAACAACTAGAGATGCGAAACAAAAGACGGAGAAACAACCTCTCCTCAGTTTCAAGTCATGGTTGATTAGCTTAGCAGAATAACATAATTGGGAAAGAATATCTTCAGATAAAGGCTACTGCTTTCTTTTCCTATTAGCGCAGATTCATTCAACCCAGCTCACGAATTTCAAAAGGCCCTAACAAGGTTTTAGATAATAACTCCAATGGTGATGATCAAATTGAGAACCAAATAAGTGGGCAGAGCGCCAAAAACCATAACCGGAGGTATTGGTCGAAAAGAGCCATACCAGAAGGGATGCGATCCGCAGAAACGGTGGCGGAAGAGAGTGTGAATAAGGATCGACGTGCTGATTGATGGTGAAGGAGCTGGTTGCCGGCAACAACTGCGAAGCATATCGAAGATCTACAAGAAGCTGCACGATAGAGAGACCTGAGAGCCACCATCTTCCCCATCTTCCTCCCGAAGACGATCGAATCTTTTCCTTTTTCAATTCTTGAAAACATCAATTTCCTTCCTTCCTCTGTTCACTTTTTACATTTTTCCGATTAAAAATGGGGAATTGACTATTGAGTGAACAGAGCCACCGTCTTCTGTACTCTGTTATGGTTTTCGGTCTGAGCCCATGTCCAAAATATCTGTGTTTGGGCCTTGTTTACACCGGAATTCCGACTGTGACGGATCCAATATTAAAGATCGCGGGTCGGCCCAATTTTACAAGAAGCCCAATTTCAGCCATTCCCTTTCCAGAGGATTCTCCTCACCATCCCGCCAAAGCGGCATCATTAGTTCATCACTGTTACAATATTACTTTGCTACAATGACTTCTTCGGCGTTAGCACAAGAGAGAGCAAGCAACTGCTCCTTACGGCTCCTGGAAGTCCCCAAATCCCAATGGTGGCGGATATTGTCTCCGGTGCTTTCAAGCGCCTCGTCGGTACTGCCATCGACGGCCAAGGACGCCTGATCGTGCTCGAATCAATGTCCAAATGAAGGAGGGTGAGTAGCTCTGACTTGTGTAGATAACCTGTTTGATAAATTGCTTCGTCCAATATAAATTGAAGTGTTGCGAATTGTGTGATAAATGATGTTGGCCTAATGTTGTCGAAAGGCTGTTCATTGATGATTTACTTCCTTCCACCTGTTTTTTCTTTCTGAAAGAAAGTAGGTTGAAAGTGTATAAATTACCAACAAATTTGCACAACTTCAACAGTAATTATTATGAGGATAACGAAGTTCCCAATTGGTTACAGGTGACAAGAATTAATATGAGAGGTCTGCGATCAAATTTGTCGATCAATTTTCCTGCCCTGTAATCCTATTCCAAGGCTTGGAAGATAAGGTGTGTTGCCAAATTCCTTTCCCTTTTTTTTTTTGCTCCGTAAATGGTCCTACCTTGCAATAAGATCATGCCCGAAGAGATCAAGCCTATTTCCCAATTTGTGCCCGCTTGAAAACTGCAAATCTGTGGAAGGATTTCACTTTTGAATTGTGATAAATATGAACATTAAATATGGTGCTTAATTGCTTATGCCTACCTCATTTAACAGAATATTCAAATTTCATTGATTGTATGCATTAAAGAGTACAAATAAGTTTAAAATATGCATTTACCGACATACATAATATTCAGAGCTAAAGAACCAGCACCATCACCATCTTTCCCAGTTAATTTTCAGGTTTCTTTTGCACATTGATTGTTCAAAGGCAGTTATCATTTTCCATTAATGAACAACTTCAAAAAGGAGAGCGCAATGGAAGAAAAAGGAAAACCAGTCACACACAGTTTGGTGTAATGTCTTGTCTCCTTTTCACCATAACAAGGCTTAATCTTCAAAGTGGGGGATTGAAAGTGACGAAATAAGCACCTTGTCTCAAGTGGGTAATTTCTTATTTGTGCCTTAAAAACTTTATCTTTACCCTTAAGCCAACAACAAGAACACTCTTAGCACTATCTTTGAGGTGAGCAGCTGCAAAGCCACCATCAAGTTCTGAGGTCAATTTGGACATCAACTCAAGATTGAGACTTTTACCCTTCCCCCACATTCCATGGTGCTTGCTCTTCCTCCCTTTTTATCCCTTCTTCTTTATAGCCGAGTTAAGCATCATTTTCCCCACCAAAGTGTTAGCTTTTTGTGTATTGTCATAATTCCTCTCTCTGAATCCAAAATGGTGTGTTCTATCAAGAAGAGCCACCCCCACAAAACCCATCAAAGAAATGCAAGTTACTCCTGGTTTCAACTCTCAAAGATGCCTTCTCCGTTTGTCGATCGTGCGGCGGCCACATAAGCTCTCTCAAGAAGCATCAGGATGAGGATTATGTTCCCAGCACAACTGAACTCGAAGATGTTGATGAACACGAAGTACTTTTCACTTCTTCAAACTGTTACAATTTTCCTGTACGGACATACAAGAAACAATGCACATGAATTTGTTTATGTCTTTATGATAATAACTATATTGTTTCTTTTTTGTCAGGTTGTCGTGTCAGCAATCAGGAGCAGAGCCATGGAGAAGTCGAAGTAGAAGGTGTTAGTGATTACAGATAGCTTTTCAGGGAAACTGTTATTTAGTCCTGAGAAGCAGAAGGATGGAGAAGTTGAAAAGGAGGAAGATTTCTTCTCAGTTGGGAGCTGTCTTTCATGTTGTTCAAGCGGTTTGAGCAAGGGGGCGAAGAGTTCTTCTCAGTGAAGACAAACTTGTTGTCGAGGTGTTCAAGCTTGAGTCAGGTGGAGTTCCCAAGTTTTCACAGGCGAGTTTCTATATTGCAGGAGCTCTGCCACTACGAAGGGTGGCCGTTTGGTCTCCGCAGGAAGGCTGTTTTGCTCCCACCTTTGCCCAAGTCTCCCTCTGAGTCCTGGCTATGGCGGAAAGGCACTAGATCAGCCAGGCTGCCCTAGAGTTCTTGCAGCTTGCAACAAAGACGAAAACCTTTGGAAGAGTTTGAGAATAAGATTGACTGTTGTGGAAGGATGCAAAGTTTATTGTTCTGTCATGTTGCCATGTCTATTCCCACGTATCAGATTCTAGATTCGAAATCAAAAGTTCAGTCTTTATTCCATCAAGAAATTCACATTAACCCCAATTTCATATAGAAGCGTCTTTGTTAACATGGGTTTTGTAAGAATATCAATGTTCTACTTCATTGTGATAGTTTTTCTATGATCTGCCAAGGAACCACCAGCATTACAGTTACAATTTTTCTACTTTATACAGACAGAAGGAGAGAAAGTTGCCGGCCTTATTAGCTTGAACAAACCTTTGCTTCCAGTGAAATACAGCTAAATAGAACTGAAATCATGGGAATATCAATGCAAATCTTGAAATAGCTAAGCTTTTATTGAACTACATTGGAATCACAATTTAAAAGGTTTCCAAGAGCAGCAGCTTGATCGAAACCATTGACAAACAAAGACTCATAGGTAGAAAAACGTTTGCAACTAAGCCAAATCAGATCCCGCGTTCTGGGACTTCAAGCTCTTTGTTCAACATAAGATCCAGCAAGTCCAGAAGTACCAATTAGGGTCACCTGAAAAAACAGGACCAAGTGATTTAAGCATAGTACCAACTCTCTTGCTTTCAAGATATGTATCAAAGAACAGTTCAAGATGCAGAACTGAAAAGATAAAAGCTAGTAAGCCCTTGGACTCAAAACAACATGTTTAAGCCATGACGAGCTCATCTAACTAAAAAAAGATGAAACCACTATGCAACTGCACGAAGCATTTTGAGGCAAAACAGAATGAAAGAAAAGATCCCTAGAAACCCATGAAAGCCAAAGGCTATAGATGGAGGGAACATTAATCTAAATAGTGAATTTCAGTTAATTAGCATTCAGTAAATTGAGCAAGTCTTAATACCTTGCCCCACTCTGATCCTAGGCCAGCACATCTCATTTTCAAAAATATCATCTTTGAACCCAATTCCATCTCTACTTTCTTTCTCAGGTCGGCCTCATCAGGTCCAAACGACTCCAAATACGCAGAGTAACGTTCAAAAAACATGCGGATTGCCTTTGCATAATCATCGGTCAACGGTTTTACATCCTGCGACCCACATTTTTACAAGCTATTATTAACCTTAAAGAACCATTGAGGAATACAATATATGAAACTAAGAATTGAAAATAAAAAACCATGAGCATACCTCGCCGCTCATCCCAATGCTGTCATCTAGCTCCATCTTTAGAGACATGACCATCCCACTGAATTCTTCGACAGCTTCAGCTGACTGGAAAATATTCTTCAAGATCTCTTGACCGGATTTGTCATCAGAGTTCTTGGACAGAGCATTCTTTACATCGTGTATGACTGTCGCATCAAGTTCATCCCAACTTGCAGCCATCAAGTCTTTGAAAGCACATAAGACATCAGGGTCCTTAATCTCGGGCAAGTGTGCTACATCCTCACTATAAGACCTTTTACTACCATTGTTGATTGCCAGAGGAGATCGTGAACCTAACAACAAGCACGACCAATTAAACCCGTGTCAAAAGAGGCATGAACTAGACGCAACCCATATCCCTTATAGAAAAAGAGGCATGAACTATCATTTTCAAGGTAGCATCAACTTCACAGTTCACACAGACAGACATTGGCGGAAAAAATCAATCATTATATCCACCTAATTGGCATAAGCCTTGATGAATTTCACATCCATGACAATTGCTGGTTCACTTCTAACAACTAGGCACAGATACCAACATCTCATACATATGTGCTAACTGCTAACAAGATGTAAAGCATACAATTCTGAATATAAAACATGGGAGAGAAGCTAAACAGCCAGAGATGGGAAACGAAGGACTCAGTTTCAAGTGATGGTGGATTAGTTGACTTAATTTGGAACGAAAATATTCAGATAAAGGCTACTGCTTTATTTTCCTATCAGCGCAGTTTCATTCCACCCAGTTCACCAAATTCGCTAACAAATCGACCCAGAATTTCAAAAGTCCTCAAATTAGATAATAACTTCAAGGGTGATGATCAAATTGCGAACCAAAGAAGTACGCAAAAAGGTCGAAAACCATAACCGGAAAGTTTGGGTCGAAAAGAGCCATACCGGAAGGGATGTGATCCGCAGAAGCGGTGGCGGACGAGTGAATGAATAGGGATCGAGGAGCTGATTAATGGTGAAGGAGCTGTTTGCCGGCAACAGATGCGAAACCAATCGTAGATGTACGAGAAGCTGCACGATATAGAGACCTGAGAGCCACCATCTTCCCCATCTTTCCCTCTGAAGAAGATCGAAACTTATCCCTTTTTCTGGTTCTTGAAAGCAGCAGTTCGGGTCAGCTGGGTAATGTCTGTTCCAGGGTCCGGACTGGGTTTCGTATTTCCTTCTCTCTTCCTTTTCCCGAATTTTTCCGATTAAAATGGAAATTGACCATGGTTATCAGAAGAACCAGCGTCTGGGCTCAAAGAGAGTGGGAATTGGGCCGGACTCGAGTGTTTGTCTAGGCCCTTGGACGTTTGGGCTTATGGATGGATGGGGCTGGACCTGGGAATTGGGGCTTTATGATGAGAGGTAATACGAAGTTCGGTGGGGCGTATGATAATCGCAGTTCGTGTTGGAATTCGGATAATTGGTTTGCAATGAACCAGACCGATAACTGAGAACATCAGTTACATAAATCGAAAGTGAACTAATTTTGCTTTGGTTTGATTTGAGAAATTCGAATTTGGTAGGATGGATTTCTCTTATGGAATATTGATAAGAAAAATCATACATTAAGTTATAAACAAAAAGCAAAGTAAAAAAATAAAAATATATTTGTTGGCATTTTCTCGCCTCTCCTAATTTCTTTAAGTAATGGTTTTGTATTCGTTTGCTATTAAAGATTCTATAGAAGATCCCACATAGTTTTCGACTTTATTTCGACGATCAAGATTCAAGAAGCGATTTTGGCATTTTGTCCTCACATCAATCTCTCGTGCCTAATCTAGGACAAGCTGCCTAGCAAGCAAGCTTCTTACATTCTAGAAAGCGGGCAACATTGCAAGAGAAGAAGGATCCACCAAATCCCCAACGACCGATGAATGGAAGCAAGGAGGCGCTTTAACCATTCAGTCATGGATGTTTAGCAGTGATCCTCGTATATGGTGAATAATCAAATTCCAATTGAAATGAAATTTTTAGGATAAATCAATGCAATTTAGGAGGAATAATGAAAGGAAAACAATTCAAATCATGGATCAGCGCTTTGAATTCATTCATTGTCAATCTTGCGAGTGGTCCAAGCTCTGCCCATAAAAAATATGCGATTAAATCATATTCTAGAATTATCTTCTAAACAAGAGGATTTATGTATATATCTCCATATTCAAAATCGAAAAATGACCAATCAAAATCGGAGCTCCATTCATGCGACGGTTATGCGAGTGGCAGAAAATTGACTGTATTTAACCTCGAGTTGCCATAATATGGAGACCATCATTCTAATCAAAGTCATCTCATGTGGAGAGATTTCGTGGGCGACTACAACAAGACCTTCAGATACCGATTGTACGTGAGTTAATAGGTGTTGTTACTGTATTTGGATTTATCCTTATTCATTTGTTTTGAATGTGAGTTCTTCATTGTATTGGTATTTGATTGCCGCTTGCATATTTCGTATGTTTACCCAGAGTTTTCAAGCTTGTAGTACCATGACAGACAGTCATATATGACCTCAAATCTGATGGATGTGGATCAAATTGTGGAGTTTGTTGTTAAAGATCTTAAGACCACAACTTTTCATGGATGAGATAGGCTTACTATAGTTTTTGTTTGAAGATGAAAGGGATAATCAAGGAATGAGTGCTTCAAGCTTCAACTCACGCCTTGGTCGTGTCTTACAACTTTAACAGTGGGAGACAAAGATGAACGCAGTGGTAGACTCGAGGAGGCAGTATTCTTGAAAGGTTGAGAGTGCAGCTGGTCAGCGTCATAAGAATCAGTGAACATATGTCTTTCATCCCACACAAAATAACTTCACTTGCTCACTTCCACAAAATAGAGTGAACACATGACGACTTGATGCCCTCTCTGTCTCTCTCGGCCAAAACACAATCAGAGCAAGATCGGTTGATAATGCTAAATTAATACAATGACCTTGCTTATTTGAATGAACGGACTCCTCAATTACAAATCATGGCTACTGCGTCTCTTCCGTTCCGTAGCTTTGAAAAGCTATGTATAGAGAACATTTAATAAAAACGTGTTTATATAAATTGCTCCTTTTAAAAGGTGAAATCCTTAGAAATTTGAGATTTCAGATGATGTATTTGGCAAATAAATGTAATCAGAAGAATTCGTCGTTTTTTTGTCTTAAAATGAAACATAGTACTTGTATTTGAACGGTAGATGTGACCACCAGAATCATTCATTATGAATGATTGTAAATCTCAGATTTTAGTAAGACTGTGTTTGACGTATTGTTAGTTTACTTTTTCTTCCTTATTCTTTGAGGGACCACTAAAATCATTCAATCTCCAAACAATGTATTTTTCAAATTCATACATTGAAACAATACATCTAATTATAATACATACATTGATTAAATACATCAATTTAGAGAATCCCAACTTCCAAACATGTCCTAGAGTTGCACATTTTTGTGGAAGATGAAGGTCATAAGTTACCTTCCACCACACACGTGTGCCTATAGGTTGAGCAAGCGGATGAGTTTGGGTTGGTCAGCTTGAAACTATAATGGTTTTGGAGAATTGTTGAATTAGCCATCTGGTATAGAAAGTAAACATCTACCCATCTGTCACACAATTCAATAAGAAGAAACTCGAGATCAAGTATTTTACATAATACTCCGATTTTCGCACAAATTGAAAGCGATCTAATCCACAACGAATGTCTGTGAGGTTCTGTAACCCTAATTTTCTATAATATCTTCTACATGTGAACACATCCTTAAGAAGAGATAATGTTTCGTGATTTCCTAACCAAAACCCATGTCCCGCCAATTAGTGCTCCACATCTCAAAATTTGCCTTCGTCATGCATCAACTTAGCCCTTAATCTCTTGTTGGATCTGACCTAACCCCGGATCCCCAGACCTACACAATCAAAATCCTCTACTTAATTACACATTACAACAGCTAGCTAATAGCTATAGCTTCATCACCTGCAGCTATCCCCCTTTCTTTCGCCGCAGGTAGTGGGTCAATAATTGAAATATATTCCTCCCTGGGCTGACCACAAAATAATCCATGTTATCTTTTGTTATATTATATAATACGAACTCGTGAATCACGAGTTGGAGCGAAATACACAGCCGAACAAGTATATATATCAATGGTCACATTCCGAGTAAAAATACTGAGCTACCTCTACTTGCATTCTAGTTTAGCTTCTTACCCTCTCTGAAAAAAATGTCTTCCTCCGGTCCCCACGAAAGGAAACTGGTGAAGGAAATCCCCGGCAACCTCCTTATCTACGACGACGGCACCGTCGAGCGCCTCCGCGACACCGACGTCGTCCCTCCCTCCATCTCCGCTGGCGGAGTCTCCACCAAGGACGTCGTCTACCTCCCGGAGCTCAACCTCTCCGCCCGCCTTTACCTCCCCTCCGCCGCCGCCGCCGGCGGAAACGGGAAACTCCCCCTGGTGATCTACTTCCACGGCGGCGGCTTCTGCGTCGCCTCCCCCTTCTGCAGCAAGTACCACCGCTACGTGTCCCGCCTCGCCGCCGAATCCCAATCCGTCGTCGTTTCATTCGACTACAGGCTGGCCCCGGAAAACCCAATCCCCGCGGCCTACGAGGACTCCCAGGCCGCGCTCCGTTGGGCCTTCTCCCATCGGGCCGGAAACGGGCCCGAGCCTTGGCTAAACTCCCACGCGGATTTCGACCGGGCTTTCTTGTGGGGCGACAGCGCTGGGGGCAACATCGTCCACAACTTGGCGATGGCTGCTGGAAGCCCGGATTTCGGGCTCAAAGGTGGGCTTCTGGGGATGGCTTTGGTGCAGCCGTTCTTCTGGGGGTCGGAGCCCATTGGATCGGAGGTCCAGTTTCCGGATAAGATGGTGAAGGCCGTGGCGAGCCATGTCTGGCCTTATGTCTCTCCGTCGCACCCGGACAATGATGATCCGCAGATCAACCCGGTGGCGGCTAATGGGCCGGGTTTGGTGGGCCTGGGCTGCAGGAGGGTTCTGGTCTGTGTGGGTGAGGCGGATGTGTTGAAGGACAGGGGGTGGCTTTACTACGAGACGCTGAGGAAATGTGGGTGGGCGGGAGTTGCGGAGATTGATGAGACTGAAGGGAAAGGGCATGGCTTTCATTTGTACGAGTTGGAGAGTGAGAAAGCTGGGGCTTTGATCAAAAGGCTCGCGACTTTCTTCAATGGTTGCTGAAAACCTCCTATCCTATGCAATGATTCTGTATGGTCGCACTTGTTTGGTGCCTTCTTTGCTCTATTCCATGGTTTCAACTTTCATGGTTTGTATCGTTCACTTGATGTATGCCATCTTGCTCTTTACTTGGCCTAAATGAGTTGGCGTTTTGGAGAAAATATGGATGTATGGAGGTGGCGACTGCCGGCGAATAAACATAACGAGGATAGGCTTTTGTGGTTTGACGATTTGAATTTTTTGATTCACATGTGTAGGGGATTTTCTTTGATTCAATTTGACTTATATGCTTGTGTTCATTTTGTATGACCATCCTGCGGTAAGCACAACTCATTGTATCTTTTGGTTTTGATTTACTAGACTTGATTAAGCGCCAAAATCTTGCTTGAGATCCAAAACACATGGGTAGTAGATAAATTAGCTAGTAATTAAGTTTTTTTAGTTAAACAATTGTACTACTCCTTTTGAAAAAATAAAGGACGATCAGTTTTTATTCATCAAACTAAACGGGGTCCAAAATTATAAGTATGGAGTGCTTGACGCATTTAAGGAAAGTAGTCATAGACAAAATTCGCCTCACCAAGTCACCGTACACATGCCCTATTCTAAATTGCCAAAGAGAAATTTTACAATGCTATATAGTATTGGTGCTATAGGTTTTTATCTTTATGGTACAACTCAAAATTGTACATTTACATTATGGTACAACTTCAGATTGTACCTATACTTTTGGTACAAATTCTTTTGTGGTACAACTTGAACTTGTACCTTTATGTGATGGTACAACTTCAAGTTGTAAAGTTGTACCATAACATAATGGTACAAATTGCTTTATGGTACAACCTAAACATATACATTTAATGTTATGGTACAACTTTAAGTTGTACATTAAAGCACCAATGCTATATAGCATAGTAGAAGTGCTCTTTGCCAAAGGCGAGATATAGAATAAAATTGCATGGTTGA